ACCCCCAATAACCCCACCAACACCCCCGTACACCCCATCAAAACCCCCAAACCGCCCGCCAACACCCACATACCCTTCCGCAATACCCCCTATATCCTCCCCCCCGCCCCCCCTTACCCCCCCCCCAGATCCCCAAAGTTTCTCAGTGGAGATATGGCAGTGAAGGTGTGGAGACAGCGGCTCACAAAGGAGCATCATGAGCATGGGTAGGCTCCAGTGCTGAACCAAGGAGGACAATGAAGGAAAGCCAGGGATACTTCTGTGTATCTGGCTGCCCACCTGATGGCTGAAAATGCTGTGTTTCAAATTCTGTAGTGGGATGCTGGAGCCGGTTTCGAGCAGATGATGCTCCCCACCAATAACAGGAGCCAAGGGCAAAGGTTATCACCCCCAATAGTAACCCGAGCCGTTTTTTGTTTAAAAAAAAGGAGGAGGAGATGCATATGCCAAAATGGTAGAGGAAGGGAAGGAGGGTTGCAGAGAGAAAGAGAGAAACCAGCAACCACCAAGAAGGAGGAAGACAGTCCAAACCCAAACTCAAAACACAAATTCTGAAGCATTACCCCGTCATCTCTCTCCCCGGGGACCTCAAATGCACAACCACTGAATCACATCCCAGGACATCAACACAGACAGTCTGTCACCTCACGCCCACCAGGTACCAGAGTCGTTGCCCTGCTAGCCCGATTGCGCAAGACAGGTCCGGCCCATGCCCTGCAGTCCGTTGCAACGTAATGTCAACCCCTCATGATTGTCACCAGCTCATGAGGGCCTTTCCAACTCCGGTCACTCACCTTGCACCAGCCACACTCCTATACTCAGTAGCCGACCCTCCACCTCCAGATCACACTAACTTTCCAAGTTAGATTAGAGAGCGATAAATTAGTACTTCCAGATTGCGAGATGCATGCGCAAAAAAAAAAGAAAGATTAAGCGAGAAGGAAGGGGATTAGAGAGTGCCTACAAGTTGCTTTCCAAGACCGTAGCGCAGGGGTCTTAGCCACGCTTTACGCACAGGATTCGTCGTATTGGCCAATGAGAATTAAGGTTGAGGGAGGCAGGCAGAGGAGAAGATGCTCGAGCGCCAAGACGAAACAAGCAAAGAACGAGAGGCGGTTGCAGTGGGAGAACCAAGAAAAACAGCCGTTTAGTCAATACTGACTTTTTTTTCCAGTTTTAGCAAGGTTGGGCTTCCAAAATAAATGCAATTTTTTTTTAACATTTTTGCATCCCCACGGCGTCAGACTAGTGATAGTCCGGAGCCCTGGGGACTCTAGACTATCAGATATACCCGGATTTTCATATATATATTGTGATGATATATATATATATTTATTTTTGGACCCTTGGATGTATTTTGACGACACTGTACATCAGATAGTCTGCCGTTCTCAGGATGCCGAACTATCCTATGTCGCCGGAACACAAAAATGCTAAACTTTTTTGTTTTTTTTTGGAAGCCCAATTTCATTAAATTCAAAAAAATGTCAGTTTTAACTACATGGCTGTTGAAGAGAGGAGGAGGGTAATGACAGTTGGAGATCACAAGCAAAATTTAGGCACGAGGGAGAAAAGAGAGCGCAGGACTCTGCTCGCCGAAAGGGAGCAAGGTCGAGTTATAGGGCACAGAGCAAAAGGCACAAATCTTGAAGCTAATTAAAAATTTTGACTGCCTGTAAAATTCTGAAAACAAATCCTGACTATACGCGCATTCTAACACACGCACCTTCGGAATTTCAAAATTCAAAAGTTGTTTCGCCCAAACTGCCACGCAAAAAGTCTTACCCGAAACACGACCCTTGTGCACATGCAACTTATTCAGAAAGAAAAGAAACAAGCGCACACGTCATCTGGTTCTTGTGCTCGCTAAGGTGTGCCCTAATTGCAAAAATACACAGGAAAAGAATCCGGGCTGAATTACGAGTTGTGCAATTACCCTCCCAACTTAACCAACCGGAGTTACAGTACAAAATTTCAAAAAGTTTGAAAGGAACCGGCAATTCGATCAGAAAGTCGCGCGTTGCAGATCTCCGTTCGTTGCAAACAGCCACCTCCCCCCCC